AGCCTCAGCGAGTGAGTGTGCACGCTCTCCATGTCCGCCTGGCCTCAGAGAGCAGAGCGCCTCCACTTTGTCTGAGACTTTGTTCTTTATTAAAGTTTCAAAAGGAGCTGATAGTTCATGATTTAGAGGAATGATGCTCTGATGATCTTTAATAATGTAATTTAATAAGCAGTGGACAAAAGAGTCCTTTGGTCGAGCAGCAATTGTTGTGTTAGCATGCTAATGTTAGCGCTCTTTAGTTAGCTCATAGCTTCCCAGTGCCTGTGTCCTGTATCATAAATAAAACAGGAGCGCCTCCAGAGACACATCTCCACTAACGTCACTAACGGATTCATACCTTCATAATATCCTTCTCTGACCTTCATAATATTCCTCTTTGGTGGTTTCTATTTTGAGCTCATTAGACATGTAGTATTTGGTTTTCTTGGCTGAGGAAAGTAGACCAGACGTAGCCTGAGGGACAGACTAGCGAGCTCCGCCTCTCCCCTCAGGTGAGACCTGTCGCCGGGAGGAAACCAGTCCCAGCTCATGTTTCATCTTTCTGTCCTGTCTCTGACAACAAGTCATGTTTTTTTATGATAACGGGGACAGTGGCTCATGTTGGCGCCGCCTTGGATACAAACCAGGAGGAAACGTGTTTGAACATGTGTGTTGTGGCTGCTGCTTATTTCCCAGCATGCATCATGGTGGCTAGAAGATAAGAAAGGGAACCTGTTCAACCTGTCAGGATTCAGACACAGTGACATGTTTCACATTGAGTTTACACTTTGTATTAAACTCTATTTACACTCTGCTGAGCCACTCTGATGTGTGATGTCATCAGCCTGTGTGTGATGTCATGAGGAGCTCCTGACTGTGACAGTGAGATGATAACTGTGTTTGACATGGTGGGGTGGGTGTAGTCCTGATAGAGGATTAAATGGAGGACCAGCCCAGGGCTTCTCTCAGTCCTGCTTTCAGACTCTCAAACATCAGAGAGAAGAAGTGAGACACTAACCGGTCCTGAGAGTCCCATTAGCCCCTCAGTCCTGTATGTGGGTTCAGGACTCTGTGAGGACTTGGATCAGGTTTAGGGAGCGATAACACAGGCAATCTGTACCGTGCCGTACTCGAGCACGATTGGCCCCCCCGCTGCCCCATTCCCCCGCTACACAGCACCAGGACTTATCGTGCCTGAGCACCATGACCTCTTGTACATAACGTCAAAATAAAGCACATGACTTTATGTTATTATGAAGAGTGATCAGTTTAGTAACAGACTCTCTCTCTCTCCCTCTCTCTCGCTCTCTCTCTCTCTGTCTCTTTCTCCCCCTCCCCCTCTCTCTCTCCCTCTCTCTGTCTCTGTCTCTGTCTCTGTCTCTGTCTCTGTCTCCCCCTCTCTCTCTGTCTCTCTCTCTGTCTCTCTGTCTCTCTCTCTCTCTCTGTCTCTCTTTCTCTCTCGCTCTCTCCTCTCTCTCTCTCTCTCTCTCTCTCTCTATGTCTCTTTCTCCCCCTCCCCCTCTCTCTCTCCCTCTCTCTGTCTCTGTCTCTGTCTCTGTCTCTGTCTCTGTCTCTCCCTCTCTCTCTCTCTCTCTCTCTCTCTCACTCTCTCTCTGAGCTGTTAGTATCCCAGGAAGGTGGAGGCATCCGGGGCCAGAAAGAGTCCAGTCGGGTCACTGTCACAGGCTCCGAGACCAAGAGACTGATATGACAGGAAATCATCTGACCAGTCGGAGCAGCTGATTGGGCTGTGATCGCCCATCGTTCCTGAGTGTTCCTGCAGTTGTAACGACGTGCAGGAATACTCAAACAGTCCAACCTGAGCTCACTCACACCTCCTCTTTTCAGAGTGTGATATGAAGTGTGTGTGTCACCAAGCTGTTCTCTCTTTCTGCTGAAAGATAAACATGAGTGTCGTCTGCAAACAGTTGAATCATTTCACTCTTTTCTGTGGTTCTCTGTCATCGTGTCCTCCTGCTCCTAAAGAATGAAAAGACCAACAATGAAATCTTTGTTTGACAGATGACGATGTGGAGTACGACGATGACTTCAACAGGTAGGACTGACCACATGCTGGATCACACTTCAGGGTGCTGAACGCTCCAAACAGATGAGGAACAGGATCTCACTTTGTGGGACTGCTGCTGATCATGCACCTCTTTGTATCGTCAATATTTAATTCTGTACAGTTTGAATGAGCAATATATCCTTTTGTTGTAACAGGTTGTTTCATGAATGATTATTTGGATATGATCTCATTGTAAGATCTTTCTCTCTCTTTCTTGAGGTTCTCGGATTCGGATTACTGTGCATTAACAGTGCAATAAAGCTGGTTTTATTCAATGCCTCACACCACCATTTGTTGGGGTTTTATCTAGTCAAATTTAGTTATATTATTAATATTTATATTTAATAATTTATTAATATAAATAACACTGTTATTAAACTATGTTTAATTGACTCGGGGGCACCACCCTGAAACCAGGGGAAAATAACTGTAATTAATAAATTGAAGGCGTGAAATCCGTACACAAAGCCCTTGCACCCAGCTTATATCACAATGCAAATACACCAGTAATCACAAACTGCTCTCTTAAATTATAACAGAATTTATTTAACAAAGCAACATCAAGTCAATCAATGAAACTCAATCCAATAACATCTGTACCAATCCAGTAACATCTGTACCAATCCAGTACCAACGCGTCGGGACATGAGTCATTTCTAAAGTGAAACCATTTACAGAGAGAGAGAGGGCGGGTTTCCCGTCTCTCAGTTCATTTCAAATGAGCTTTATTGGCATGACAGATCAACAATCCATGTTGCCAAAGAAGTACAGAAAAAATACAAATAACAAATGATAACAATATATACAGTAAACAAATATAACAAATATGAATTTAAAAAAAAACATTAACAATAATATGAATCATTTTTTACAGTGTATTTCTATGACACATTAAGTGTATTTTGTCTTAGTATGTGACAATCATAAACATATTTAGCACATACACATACACAGACTTTTCTCTCCACATAGATAGAGCAGCTTCTGATGATCAGGGAGATGGAGAAAGTCAGGATATTTATTATCTTAAATCCTTATATATGTCACAGTGTAGGAGGAAGTGAGATTCTGTAGGAGTGTTTTTATTTCTCTCTTCTCTGACTTTGATTTTTCACTCTTTGATCAAAAACTCTCTTTTTCTTCTTCTTTTTCTTTTCTTATTTACCTCTTCTCTTCTTCAAGTGCGTAGGACCCTCTTGAAACCCAAGGAATTATTATTTTTCTTCTTCCTCCACTTTAAACGGGTTAGGGTTAGGGTTACAAAACAAGTCAGTGGAAGTCATTGTCTAATTTCAACAGGAAGTCCGGTATGATTTTCTGAATGTCTAAAAAGTCCATATTTTCACCGTTTACAGGGTACCTGTTTGAAAGCATCCGCCCGAGATCGTTTATCTGAACAATTCAAGTTTGGTGTCAAATGAAAGTAGACAAGTTGAAGAATAAAAGTTGTGCTCAAATCACGAGGTTTCGAAATAAGGCGTGGCCGTGGCGTGATGTCAAAGTTTGATGTCGTTTTTGGCATCGTGCCAAAAACAGTAAATGCTTATAACTCTACTATACAGTGTTCAATCATCACTCAGAAATTCATGCATGACAAAGAGCCCACCTTGAACACATCCATGATTTAATTTTTTTAATTAGTCACAGCGCCACCTGTTGACAACAGGAGGTCACTCCGTCTGAGCACTGTTTCCTTTGCACTAGCCATTGCTACACAGTTGCTTGTATCTCCCTCAGAATCACTGTTGACCATCCAAAGACCTTGGCCATACGACTTTTACAAGCACAAAGGCCTGCGTGAAAAGCTGTTCCCTTACGGACGCGTTGCTCGCCATCAAACAGGAAGTAGTTTTTTCACAGGCTTAACATAGTCGTACAGACCCAAAACTTCAGACATATAATCCTGATACTAAAGTCAAACATCTTATATTGTTTAAGTAAGTGGGTGTGGCTTAATGGCTCAGTGGCGCCCCCTTCAAATCTTCAAAATGGCCTCCCCATAGAGGGTTTTTTCATGTACATTCATGTAAATTGCTACGCATATTAAGCTTGTCAGGACGGACATAAAATCCTCTTGCAGCGTTTCAAAAAACCCAACAGGAAGTCTACACATTAAAGTTGAATTTCGCAATAATGGCCCAAAATCGCAGATTTCAGCCTTCCTATTTGAACAAACTTGTTTGTGGGCGCTGATCTGATCAACGCAAACTCAGTATCAGTGTGTTCTAGACAGGCTCAACATATCTCGTTGTGCTCTGCACGTTACTTCGTCAAAAGGCGTGGCTGTTGTATGCGTTTCAACTTTTTTGTGCGTTTTGGCAACTTACCAAAAAAGTAAATGCTTATATCTCAGCTATGCAGCGTTCAATTATAGTACAATTTCTCATACATGATACAGGGCCCGCCCTGAACACATCCATGATTGACATTTTTTGCTTAGTCACAGCGCCACCTGTTGACAACAGGAAGTTACTGCTTCTCAATTAGCATTAGCCAATTTTAACCATAGCGCCCCCTCCTTCAAGGAGTAAGTACTACATCCTATATACTTTGTCTGATCTAGTTCAAATTACACCTATATGATCAGGGTTGGCCTCTGAACACATAGACATAACAATAGTCAACTTTAACCATAGTGCCTCCTACTGCAAGGACTAAGCACTACACAATGCTCAATTTGCTCCAAATTTCACAGGTATCATGACAGTGCCAGCCTGAACTGCTCTACGTAAACATTTTCTGTGATCTTCATTACGTTGCCTATTTCAACATGCCAGTACTACCACTTTTTCACAAATCGAACTGCACGGCCTGCTGCTTAGTCACGTTTCACTGTTGCTGCACTCCCGCAGTCGCGACCCACCCTGACATGCACTGGGGTGTGAGGGCCCTTCATCACCACTTGCAGTTTTAATTTACCTCTTTTTTTTCTGTCCTTCTTTGAAGTGTTGTTTCTCGTAAAGTCTCAAAGTCCAGAGAGAGCCCTGGTCTTCAAACAACAGAGGAGGATTTATGAACATAACTGCTGACTCGGCTGCAAACAAACGCTGGCATACTCTTGATTAAATTTACCGTTCTGCACACAGAGAGATCTATTTCTTCATCCCTGGTTCACTGTAAGGGAATCTTTGTAACAGGAAGACTTAATGATTCTCCCCTGACCTACCAACTGTTGGTGTTTTACCACTTTGACGAGAAGTGTGATGGCCCTTGAGTTTTGGTTTATTGGTTTATTGGTTTATTGGTTTTATGACTGTTCTGTGATGTGGTGGTGTTGTTGGAGCAGCGAGCAGCACCTGAGCAGAGCAGCGAGCAGCACCTGAGCAGCGACCTACCGGTGAGCGTATTGCATCATTTCCTGTTCTGTTCTCCTCTGTACTGTGTTACTGTGTACCTACTCTTAGCCTAGCTTAGCAGTTAGCTTTACAATGGCTTCTTTATCTGTCTCTCCCTCTCCTGCTCTCTCCTGCTCTACGTGTCAGATGTTAAGTTACTCCTCGTCCTCCTTTAGTGATAATGATACATGTAAGAAATGTAGTTTATTTTTAGCTTTGGAGGCGAGGGTGTCTGAGTTAGAGAGACGGCTCTGCACCATTGAGTCAGAGTCATCGTATGCAGCAGTAGTTAGCCAGCCACCTGTAGCCGGTGCGGGCCGACATAGCTTGGCTTCCCCCCCGGTAGCTCCCGAGCAGCCGGGAGGCGGTGGCTGGGTTACTGTCCGAGGGAAGCATGGTCGAAAATCAAAGCACACGGTTACCCACCAACCACTTCACATTTTAAACTAATTTTCCCCACTCAGCAACACACTGAGAATAAAACTCTGATTATTGGAGACTCCATAGTCCGAAACCTGAAGCTAGCGAAGTCAGCGGGCATAGTTAGGTGTATACCCGGGGCCAGAGCGGGCGACATCGCATCTCATTTAAAGTTGCTGACAAAGACTAAAGGTAGATTTGATACAATCGTAATTCATGTCGGCACTAATGACTCCCGACAACGCCAGTCGGAAGTCACTGAGGTTAATGTGGAGTCAGTGAGTACTAAGACGATGTCGGACTCTGTAGTGTTCTCTGGACCCCTCCCAAATCAGACCAGTGATGACATGTATAGCCGCATGTCATCACTCAACCGCTGGCTGTCGAGGTGGTGTCCAGCACACGATGTGGGCTTCATAGATAACTGGCAGTCTTTTTGGGGAAAACCTGGTCTGCTAGCTAGAGACGGCATCCATCCCACTTTGGACGGTGCAGCTCTATTATCTAGAAACATAGCAGAGGTTATTAGTCCAAAACCTTGACAACAACACAAAGTTCAGACCAGGAGGCAGAGCTGCAGTCTTACACTTAGATCTGTCTCCCAGTCACTATAGCTGTAATTCTGAATCGAACTGTAGTTATACTATAGGTACTGTGTCTGTCCCCCGGCCCAGACCCGTCTTTATAAGTCATCCAAACGGCGTAAATCATCAAAATCTCATTAGAATCAAAACTACAAATACGATTTTGCTAAAAAATCAGAAGATTCACTGCAGACTTTTGAACATTAGATCCTTAGCATCCAAATCTCTTTTAGTGAATGATCTGATATCAGATCAGCATATTGATTTCCTTTGTTTGACTGAAACCTGGCTGTGTCGAGATGAATATGTTAGTTTAAATGAATCCACTCCTCCCAGTCATTTCTGTACTCATATACCTCGAGACACCGGACGAGGTGGTGGAGTAGCAGCTATTTTTAATTCTAGTCTTCTAGTTAACCCTCGACCAAAACTGAATTCTTTTGAAAGCCTTGTTCTTAGTCTTTCACATCCAGTCTCAAGAACCTTTCAGCCAGTTCTAGTTGTTGTAGTTTACCGCCCTCCTGGCCCATATTCTGAGTTTCTATCTGAATTTGCAGAATTTTTATCAGATTTAGTCCTTAGCAGTGATAGAATAATTGTTGTAGGTGACTTCAATATCCATGTGGATGTTGATAATGATAGCCTTAGCATAGCTAAGTGTAAACGAACCTACTCATCGTTTTAACCACACCCTGGATCTTGTTTTAGCTTATGGCATTGAAATCCATAACCTTACAGTTTTCCTAGAAACTCCTCTTCTATCAGACCATTTCCTTATTACTTTCGACTTTGTCCTACCAGAATTACCTCTGCTTAATAAAAATGTGCTCTCTAGAAGTTTATCTGATAGTGCTGTAGCTAGATTTAAGGAAGCTATTTCAGCTGCTTTTGATTCAGTACCGTGTTTCAACCCAGTTGGAAACTCTTATGATAGCTTTAGTCCCTCTCAGCTAGATCAGTTTGTTGATAGTGCAGTGGATTCGCTGAGAGTTACTCTGGATTCGATTGCTCCCCTGGAACAGAAGGTTATCAAACGGCAGAGAATAGCTCCATGGTTCAACCAAGGGGCAACCTCCGGTCTCGAAAAATGAAGCCTATGCGGAAGTACAAAAAACTGCAGTTCCTCGAGGTTCCTCTTGAGGCTGGCTGCAGAAGCGCCGGAAGTGCCATAAGCCCACAGCCAAAAAAGCCTGTTTTTACCACAGGAATCAACATGTTTACAGCCTGGTTCAAAAAACGAGATATATCTGAGAAGTTGACGGCCCCTTCTCCTCACACTGTGGGGGGGGGGGGATTTTTTTATAACTCATCGGATTTTATTCTATTAAGGAAAACGACTATGCCCATATTTGGTTGTGTCAGATTAGATTGACAGCTCTGCGCGCTGCATCTGTCTGTCAGGTCAGCAGGTCAGGAGGCTAACAGCTTGATCCGTCTGATTTCTCCTCTTTCTTACTTCGTTTGGAGAGTTTGTTTAACACATATCTGACAACATACATGGCTTGCTGTGCGGTTAACAGACCATACAACAAGTTGATGCTTCAGTTTTCTTCGGTAAGTGATATAGTAGTGTTATATTTACTGCTTACTCATGTATTTATATTTACGGACCTAGCTTGTTTAGCGTTAGCTTGTAAACCAGTCGGCTAACTGTGTAGCTCATTATTTACGGTCAATGGTTTAGAAATGTTTGTTGTTAAGATGTTGTTGTTGAAAATAATGAGTTAGTGTGATGTTAGAAGCTAAAGGTTCATCTCGGTGGTTATCTGATGTTATGATGAATGTTATACTCCACCTAAATGTGGACATTAAAACAAACTTTGTGTAGTAATTATCCGTCAGTAACATAAACTGAACTGAACCTAATGTGCTGTGTAGGTTATAGAGGATGACATTAAAGTTACATGGTTGATGTAGTGTCTTAAGATTTGAGCAAACTGTTAACAAATTTAAAAAACTTCACTTTGTAAGAGCATCTGTAACCATTAAGAACTATATTAATAACCAGATTAAGTTTCACTGAACTCATACACAGAATATAGCAGTAGAAATATAAAATATAAATAACATATGGAATGAAAATAAGATTTAAAGCACATAGATATAAAGTATAAGAAATAGTTTGAAGAATACAGCCATGTACTGAGCTCATGTTAATAATAAATGAGTTACTGTATGTTCTGTACTAAAGCACAGAGAGTTGGGACCTGTTAATGATTTAAATAATTCAGGTTATATTTGTTTCATGATGAAGTACTATCCACAATAAACTGCTTAATTTTTCCTCACATAATCTGAGACCATTTGATGTGGAATATCATTGTGTGAGTGAGAGAGCTGAAAACAGCATGATTACAATAATGTTTATCTTCTTAACTTTGAATAGATGTTGATTACCTGAATACTGGACCTTTGTTGTCTGGGTAGTACACTGTTGAATTTATAAATGTGCTCTTACACACAGATGAATACAGAAAAATAGATGAGAACAAACAAAATGATTTAATGAATAACTGATTTTTTCTCTCTTTCTTTGCCATCCTGAAGACCTCTCACTAAAAGTCCATGTTCTCCTGGATCCATGTCACATGCTCGAGCTTCTTCTGAATGACTTTTCAACAGTCGAAGTTCTGCTGAGAGAAGATGGCCAGCAGATAAGACAGCAGTACATGAAGGAGCTCCACAGGCTTCAGGAGGAGGAGGAGGGTTTGCACCTTGGAAGACTGTATTCATGCTGTTCAAATAAAAATAGATCTCCTCCAAACAACTTGCAATCAAACTATTTTCTTCCTATTTTAAAACCCTTTGTCCAGTTTAGATGGGAGAAGTTGATATTATGTGATATAGATCTGGGAAGACTACATTTCTAAATCATTTTTAACTGTTTTTATTCACAAGTTATTGATCTTATTTACTCTCCATGTATCTTGATTTAAGAATGGGGCTGTGTTTAAGGGCATCATTTTGCAATGACTCTGTTCCATCCCACTTTCAGAAATGAACTACATTAGTATTTGGTAAAAAAATAAAAGGTTGTGTAAAAGTAGACTTCCTTCCCTAAACTATTGAGTTGAGCATTAATGCACATTTTAGTCTTGTCATTTCAAATCTGAAATGTATACTCATAAGTAGACATAAAGGAGTGCATTTATACAGAAATATTTATTTAATCTGAAAAACAACATTAAAAAAAGTCTGTTTTTACAGCAGAGATGAACATGTTTACAGCTTGGTACAAAACAAACAAATAGGTGTGATTAGCTCATGTCTCGATGGACACACACTGTACGGGGGGGTGAATGTTTTGATGACTCATCAGTTTTGATTTGATGAAGAATAAGAGTTATTCACAATAAGGCGTGTAGCTGACCTGATTGACAGGTGGGCGCGGTGTAACGGTTTGTCAGGAGGTTTAAAACCCGCCTCAGCTCTCAGCCTGTGGGTGACATCACTCAGGCCATCCGGGGGAGACCTCCCTCACAGCGAGCTGTTGAAGAGAAGCAACCGAAGTCCACCCCAGAAGAACCAACAAATACAGATGTTGTTGAGGCTCAGGTTTCTTCCTCTGTCTCTGCAGCTCTCTGGGCACCTCGATGGACCAGTCACCAATAATCCACACTGTGTCTATAGGAGAAATACAAAGGTGTTCAATTAATGCCTCAGACAAAATGTACAGTTAACTACATGTGACAGCTCAGGCTGTTTTTTTGTTATGAGCCACATCTGCAGGAATAATATTGAACAAGGTAGCTGCAGCTCCTAATAATAGATGCCAGTCTTAAACACTATTATTTCTAATACTTAAAGTTTTTGGTGTGAAGCTGACACTGTCCACAGACTCCATGACTTCACAGGTTCAATAGAAAACAAATATCTTATAATAAATACTAAATAATTATTTTTCAGTTGTCATGTTCACCTCATCGCTGTTGACATCAGTAAATATAAAACACAGACATTCCTCTTTTTGTCAGAACAGTAACATGAACTGTATGCTTTGTAATATTGATTTCTTCTGGATGTCTCATATTTATTTACAGTCTATGGATAAAACTTTGTTAATGTATTTCTCTGCTAACACTGACAAAGTCTAACGGCTCTGACAAATAACTAATAACCATAGTTGTATATTTAAAAAAGTGTAGTTTTAAGACTTTAATTAAATATTTGGGTTGAATATAATTAGTTTTAACTGTGTTGTAGAAAAGTTAAATGTTAACTTACTGTTTGTAGAGTTTTCTCAGGACGAGCAGGAATAGTTGATGATAGCAGCCTAGCCGTTAGCTATGCTGTGAAGTGGACCACTAACGTTGAGCTGAATGGGCGGAGTTAAGTCCCGCCGGTCCCGCCTTACTGCTGTGGTTAGGTTGATCCGAAGTTAGGTTGAGACTGCAAATCCAATATGGATGCGGCCGTCGATTGGACTCATTTTCTGCCTTACAATCTTACAATCCTGAATTTACAATCCTAAAGTTGAAGGATCACATGAGCTATTATGAACTATTATGGACTATTGAATGTTTTAATTTATGTTGATAATGTATGTAAAGTATTTATAATTCCTGTCTTTTTGGCCCCATTGACTGTATGATAGGTAATTGCTTTGCTTTAGTGTAAACAATCAGGGGCCGGTATGCTGTGGCCGAATGGCCATATGAATTATTTACAGTTAAAAAATAGAAAAGAGTCAAACATTAATGAATTTAGAATTATTTGTTTATATTATTGTTTATTCTAGCTTATTTTGGTTTTACATTTTGTCAACTGATTTGGGGGTATTTGTGCGTTATTTCTCCCTCTTGGGGGCGACCTGGGGTGAGACTGAGGGTGGGGAAGCAGAACAGTTTTTTGACTGCAAAGGGCCGGTTAGGATATACGTGATATAGCGATCTGTTTATTTTATTTTGTGAAGTTTAGTTTTTGCTGAAAAGTTTTCTTCAAAGTTGACTTTGGATCCGTGGCTGCCTTTTGATATTATTTGATAGCGTGTTAAACCCGCTCAGCAATGGCTTACCTAATTGATTTTGTTTGAAGCCATCACATACGTACGGTGATGGAGGCCAAAGAGCGCAGGGAGACGTCTTTCATCTTCTCTGTTTCTCATGACTCAAATGTTTCTTTATGTTTTGTTTTCTCTCTTTGATTCCTCCTCGCTGTGTATTAATGCTCTGTCTCTGTTTACAGCTGGACGTGACGATGGAGGGCTCAGACTATGACTATGACAGCTTGCTAAACCAATCAGATTTCGACTATAACTGGACTGATTGTTCATATGACTACGTCTCACTGTGCTCTCACCAGACCAACCATTGGGTGGAGCGTGTGATTGTTCCATACATCCACTCCATCATCTGCATCCTGGGCCTCGTGGGGAACATCCTGGTGATCGTAACCTACGCCTTCTACAAGAGGACCAAGTCCATGACGGACATCTACCTGCTGAACGTGGCCGTCGCCGACCTGCTGTTCGTGGTGTCGCTGCCTGTGATTGTCTACAGCGAGCTGTCGGCGTGGTCCCTGGGGCCCGTGGCGTGCAAGCTGCTGCGCGGCTCCTACAGCGTCAACCTGTACAGCGGCATGCTGCTGCTCACCTGCATCAGCACCGACCGCTACATCGCCATCGTCCAGCCGCGCCGCAGCTTCAGACTGCGCTCGCTGCGGTACAGCCGCCTCATCTGCGCCGCCGTCTGGGTCGCCGCCTTCCTGCTGTCCGTCCCGTCCTTTTACTTTTACACCTCGTACGAGCCGTCCCACAGCAGGTACATCTTCCTGTTAGAGGAGGACCCGATCCAGAACCTCGAGCCGCCTCACTACGTCTGTGAGATCAAGTTCCTGGACATTGCCACGGCGTGGAAGACCAAGGTGGCGGTCCCCAGCACGCAGCTCGCCGTGGGCTTCTTCCTGCCGCTGCTCGTCATGCTCTTCTGCTACACCGCCGTCATCGTCACGCTGCTCAAGGCCAAAAACTTCCAGCGGCACAAGGCGGTGCGGGTGGTGATGGTGGTGGTGGTGGTGTTTGTCACGTGTCATCTCCCGTACAACGTCACGCTGCTCATCGACACAGTCAACATGTTCGGAGAGCCGTCGTGTGAAGAGTCGGACGCCTTGCTCACGGCCAAGACGCTGACGCAGACCGTTGCCTACCTGCACTGCTGCCTGAACCCCATCCTGTACGCCTTCGTGGGGGTGAAGTTCAGGACCCACTTCAGGAGGATCGTGCGGGACCTGTGGTGTCTGGGCAAGAGGTACATTGCTCCACGCCGCTTCTCCAGGACCACCTCCGATTACTTCATGTCCACTCGCCGCACGGTGGACGTAGGCAGCGAGAACGGCTCGTCTTTCACCATGTGAGGACGGGAGGTCTGACGGGAGCCTCTCTGTGAGGAGGTTCCTGGTTTGAATCCCCGTCTGACGGGAGTCTCTCTGTGTGGAGGTTCCTGGTTTGAATCCCGGTCTGACGGGAGCCTCTCTGTGAGGAGGTTCCTGGTTTGAATCCCCGTCTGACGGGAGTCTCTCTGTGAGGAGGTTCCTGGTTTGAATCCCCGTCCTTCAGGAGTCTCTCTGTGAGGAGGTTCCTGGTTTGAATCCCCGTCCTTCAGGAGTCTCTCTGTGTGGAGGTTCCTGGTTTGAATCCCGGTCTGACGGGAGTCTCTCTGTGAGGAGGTTCCTGGTTTGAATCCCCGTCTGACGGGAGTCTCTCTGTGAGGAGGTTCCTGGTTTGAATCCCGGTCTGACGGGAGTCTCTCTGTGAGGAGGTTCCTGGTTTGGGTCAGGGTCAGTTCTCTTCAATACGCAGATTATATGTAAATCACGCTCTCTTTGGCTCCTCCCCTCATCAACAGAAAACCACTAAAACAAACTTATTTAAAAAAGATAATAACCTCACCTCGCCCCCCCATAGGCACAGAGGCTGTAGTCCTCATCACTGCCGTCCTGGGTTTGAATCTGACCTCTCTCTCTTCAGCTGCCCCCCTTCCCCCCCTTACAGTAAAGTGTTTCAGGGCTTCAGTGTTTGACTCTAAGAGGAACAGCTGTGATTCAGTGTATTAACCACCAGATGGTGCCACGTGTCAACAAACAGAAACGTCTTCTTTCCTGTCAGTTGATGTTTCCTCCTGTCTTTACTCTCACAGACTTCAGGAGTTCTTTTACTTTCTCTTCATCCCTCGAGTCATTTCTCTGATTCACTCAGATGAAAGACAAAAAGATGAAAACAGTAAAGAGAGACACACAAACCCCCATTCCAATCTGCACATTGCACTTCGACACACTGACACTTTACACTGTTTACATTATTCTATATTCTATATTTTGTATATGCAGATATTTCTTTTTTTAATTTTTACATTATATTCTATTTTTACTGTATATATGTGTATTAGTAATCTGAGTGTTTATTGCATGGCCTTGGGGAACAGTCTTTACATTTACATCTGTATGAGCATGTGACAAATACAAATCTTGAATCTTGAGTCTTTTATTTCTCATATTTGTACAAAAACCTTTCAGTAAAGAAATGTTTCCAAACTGTAATTTATGATGGACTCCTTCTCCTCTTACAAACTCTTTATAAAACTCTTTAGTTCTTTGTATCAGAGCGCGTGCGTCAGTCTAACACAAATCCATTTTTCTCTTCTGTCATTAATTTAATCCTCAAAAGAAACCAGAGAGGGAGGAGTCAGATCAGACGACAACAATAACAGATCATCAGGGGGGGTAGGGTCAGATCCTCATGAGGACTAACGGGTCCAACATCTTCACGATCAGAGACAAAAACAAACAGGCTGTACCATCATGAAGTATTTCATTTACCCTCCGTCCTGAGGTGTAGTTTAATGATACTCAGACATTTTAAATCAATAAAAATGATTAAAACACTTTGAAGTGATCATCTGTTATTTACTCTGAAGTTATAAAACTGATCCTGAAAACAGCTGACTCTCCCTGTGTGTGTGTGTGTGTGTGTGTGTGTGTGTGTGTATGTGTGTGTGTGTGTGTCCTGCAGCATGCAGCACAAAGGGGTTCTGCAGCCAGAGATCCATGTGTGGTTCTACACTCCCTCATTGTTCCTCGGAGTGTGAGGGGCGTTAACCCGGAGCACACACACACACACACACACAAACACACACACAAACACACACACACACACACCGCGGGGAGACACACACAAACCTCCGAGCTCTGCCGCGGGGACACGCAGCTACTCTACCCGGACAACAGGCGAGGCAGCCCGGCTTCAGCAGCCGCCGCGCCCCGCTGGAGGAGGAGGGGATGGAGAAGACCCGGATCATGAGTGTGTGTGTGTGTGAGAGAGGAGGAGAAAACTTAGAAGAACAGAGAGGATAAAGGAGGAGAGGAGAGAGGAGGGCGTTCATTGTGGACCCGGAGCGATCTGATCACCATGGATCCGGATCACACGGAGGCCGGAGAGGGAGGGAGTGTGTGTCCTGTCCTCGGCTCAGCAGCTGCAGACACGTCGCCTGAGATAAGAACAGAAAACTGTTTGGAGCTGTTGAGCAAAGCGAAGCGGTGCGGCGCGGCGGGCGAACAGGAGCGGATCTACCGCTTCATGAGCGACCACTACCTGATGGTGCTGCGGACCCCCGGGCTGTTCGGCCGGCTCTCCGCGGGGGAGAGGGAGCGCATCCTTGCTCGCAGGATGGAGGGGGACAAGGTGCTGACGGTGGCGGAGACCTGTGACGGGGGGAGCCGGGAGAGCCCGCTGCTGCCCGGCCCGGAGGACTGCAGCCCCCGCAGAGTGTTCTGCCTCCACCCGGAGAGCCGGCGGTGGGATGTGCTGACCCGGCTGCCAGAGGAGGTCCCGACTAAAGGCTCCGGGATGTGCACCTTGTACAACTACCTGTTCGTGGCGGGGGGGATGAGCGCGCACGTTGCGTCAGACCGGGTGTTCTGCTTCAACCCGCGGACCGGACTCTGGTCCCCGGTCCGTCCACTCAGCCAGCCCCGCTGCCAGCTCAGACTGGTCTCCATGGACGGCTTCCTGTACGCCATCGGGGGGGAGTGTCTGTTCACGGTGGAGCGCTACGACCCGCGCGTGGACAGGTGGAGTCACGTGGCTCCGCTGCCCAAAGGCTCTTTCGCGGTTGCGCACGAGGCGACCCCGTGCGGCGGGGAGCTGTTCGTGTCCGGGGGCTCGCTCTTCTACCGGCTGCTCCGCTACGACCCCCGCCGGGACGAGTGGGAGGAGTGTCCGTTCAACGAGAGCCGGCGCCGCTCCACGGACATGGTGGCGCACCGCAGCCTCGTGTACCGCTTCGACGTGGAGCGGGAGCGCGCGGGGGTGAGCGTGCACAGGTACAACACGGTGGTGAAGGTGTGGCACGGGGGAGCCTTCTTCCCGCTCCAGAACCCGCTCCCGTTCCGCTGCGCCGTGCTCCGGGACCGGGTCTACTGCGTCAACCGGAGCCAGGTTCTGCAGTTTGAGGTGCGCGAGGAGCGGGAGGACTTTCTGCAGGAGGTGCTGCCCCCCCCATCAGAGGCCCGTGGAGCCCTGGTACCCTTTGTCCTCTGTCTGAACCGGGACAAGTCATCTATCCCGGGTTAAATGTTCTGTGCCTTCTCTCTGATCTTTAAATGAGTGTTTGTGTTTCCGGTTTCTGGAGGAGAAAGTTTAGTCCTGGAGGGCTCAGCTCCGTGTAACCATGTTACCATGGCAACCGTGTCTCCATGGCAACAAGTAAGTCCAGTTTACCTGGATCTAAAGTCAAGGTTGGATGTTATGGTGGCCGGGAGGGGTCAGACTAATGTCACATCTACGACAAAACAACACGATGAGACAGTTACCATGGTAACCATCCATCAAGCCCTGATCAGACGGCCCATTCAAAGCGTGACGTCCCTTCAACATGAACATCACAGAGTGTCAGAAACACCGACCACAGAGCGCCCGTTTGTGTTGTCGTGGTCGTGTTGTCGTGGTCGTGTTGTCGTGGTCGTGTTCTCGTGGTCGTGTTGGCGTTCTTCCTGATAACGCCGGAGTGTGATTGCAAAGCGATTTTTATCCACAGTTTGACACCTCCCGGCCACCGTACTACAAAGTGTTTACCTTTAAACCTTTCACTTTGGCTTCATCTGGGTTTACTTGATGGATTCAGTCGCCATGGAAACGGTCCATTCCTCGTTCTCTGAAGATGACATCATATCACAGAAACTCTTTGTCTCCTCAGACTCACCTGGACTTTATGAGCAGGTGCGTTTGTTTACAGACGGGTGGGGTTTAACAAAGACACACAGAAACCCCCCCCCCCCCCCACCTTCAACCAACAGGTCAAACACTCTGAGCATGATGTCATCCTGCACAATGAGCTGCTATACATAAACTTTGTGTTATTTAAAGGACGATATATGAAACATGATAACCTGAAAGAAACGCTGAGCAGACACCTGAACACATGACAACATCTCCTCATCTGTGTGTCTGCATGTAAACAGGTACTGAGTGTGATTAATGTGATATTTAACAGCCTGATATGTTTGTCATGTGACCACAGAGAGGTTTCTGCTTTTACTCGTCAGATAATCCACTTTCTTCCTTCAGTGTGTTGATGGATAAAAAACTACAACATGTTTAGGACTTCTCAGCTTTATTAAAGCTTTGTTTTGTTTATATCACCAATGAGTCAAGTACCTTCATTTCACAGACTTAACCTACAGTTCTGACTTCAGGAGACAATCCCCAAATAACCACAGATAACAAGACTGAAGTTCTACCAGAATGAAGAATTAATATCTCTGTTTTAGTCTGAATGTAGTCTGAAAAACACATTACACTAATGTCATTATGTTAAATTAAATTTACTCTAAGATTTCTGATCAATAGACCTCAAACCAGTTGGCAAACTTAGGGACAGAGAAATGAAACCAAACAAATCCTCCAGTGTCCACTAGAGTCTGTCTCCTGCAGTGAGTCAGTCCCCATAGAGCTCTATGTTAAAATGTCTAACTTTACAGCTGCAGTTCCTCCAGTGTCCACTAGAGTCTGTCTCCTGCAGTGAGTCAGTCCTCATAGAGCCCATGTTAAAATGTCTAACTTTACAGCTGCAGTTCCTCCAGTGTCCACTAGAGTCTGTCTCCTGCAGTGAGTCAGTCCTCATAGAGCTCTATGTTAAAATGTCTAACTTTACAGCTGCAGTTCCTCCAGTGTCCACTAGAGTCTGTCTCCTGCAGTGAGTCAGTCCTCATAGAGCTCTATGTTAAAATGTCTAACTTTACAGCTGCAGTTCCTCCAGTGTCCACTAGAGTCTGTCCCCTACAGTGAGTCAGTCCCCATAGAGCTCCATGTTAAAATGTCTAACTTTACAGCTGCAGTTCCTCCAGTGTCCACTAGAGTCTGTCCCCTGCAGTGAGTCAGTCCTCATAGAGCCCCATGTTAAAATGTCTAACTTTACAGCTGCAGTTCCTCCAGTGTCCACTAGAGTCTGTCCCCTGCAGTGAGTCAGTCCTCATAGAGCTCCATGTTAAAATGTCTAACTTTACAGCTGCAGTTCCTCCAGTGTCCACTAGAGTCTGTCCCCTGCAGTGAGTCAGTCCTCATAGAGCTCCATGTTAAAATGTTTAACTTTACAGCTGCAGTTCCTCCAGTGTCCACTAGAGTCTGTCCCCTGCAGTGAGTCAGTCCCCATAGAGCCCCATGTTAAAATGTCTAACTTTACAGCTGCAGTTCCTCCAGTGTCCACTAGAGTCTGTCCCCTGCAGTGAGTCAGTCCCCATAGAGCTCTATGTTTCATGGACTTTTCTCATTGGGGGGTTTGTAGACAGACTAGAGACACATGTTAGAGTTAGAGGAACATAGTGTATCGTTTTAAACATGTGGTATCAAAACGTATTCAAAACCTTGACGACGTCAGGTAGCAATGCCTAGTTTAGTTCAGGGGATGTTGTCGTTGGTTACAGTTTAATAACCATGGCGTTAAGGTCAGGCGTCTCCTCTGTCTCTGATCGGTCACATGACTTCCTGTTGTTCCGCTGAGTCATCGTGGTCACAGCCACCGGAGGACTCTGATCAGAAACAGATGTTTGCTGAGATGACTGGTGGATCAGCTGTTTTCATGAGAACACAGTCGAAGGAAACATCATCCGGCTGGTCATCATGTTACAGACCATCATAATGTGTTTGTGTGGTTTGATTTGATTCTGCAGGAAACAGGATGTAGAGAGAGAGAGATACTCTTTCTGTCAGTGCACACAGAGGAACAGAAACAGAACTCAACCTGTGATTACTTGAAAGGTCCAATCAGTGAGCTGTGTAGAGAGTGAGATGATAAAGGTATCTTACTATCTGATCATTAAGGAAACATGCTATGTTGAAGTGCTGGTTGCTATGACAACAATGCAGCAGCCAGTATGTCCTCCTTCTAACTTTAGATTCTGCTCCTGAATGCTTTGGATTTGTTTGGACCAGAGAAGGTAGGCGCTTTTAAGACACACCCCCACACGGCCGTTTTGGACGCCCCTCGGTTTGTCAGATATGAGAGCAGTTATCAGGTCAACAGGTGTTGCAGTGATGGAAGCGGTCAAGAGAAGTGGTTCAGATAGAAGTGATTGTACCCGACCTAAAAAGCCTCTGCATGTTTCTAATAAGCTCCACGAGCAGAAACGTGCTCAAACCATAGACTGTAAAAATAATGGACGGGACAAGGTCCCCGGTCTAGTGAAGCTTTTATTGTTAGAGCTCCCCCTACTGACTAGCTGCAGTATAGGTCATAAGCCCCGCCTCCTCAATGATAACAGATGGGATGTGGGTCAAACTGTAAAGCTAAAATACTCGTCACATAATTTTTCTCCAAACCTAAACTCTGCTGTGATCATTAGTTATTATCACCCTACATTGTGTTCAAGTGCTCATTTTTCTGTGAAGTTTGTTTTAAATAAGTTATTTGAGGTTTAAAAACTGGATTTTACGTCATATTTGACGATGATTGACAGCCGCCGATCTTGCGTAGCTCTCTTTGTGAATAACAAAGTTACGTAGTGAAGGAAAGCCGAGACGCCGTTGAATTTTTCCGTTCAGTTTTTTCTTCTTTTTTGAGCTGGAAAATGAGTTGTTCTGCAGTAAACTGTTCTAACCGACCTGAGGGAGATAACGGATCTTTGCAGTTCTTTCGGTAAGTAAAAAAGTGATTTATGTGTCATTGGTTAAAGTCGTTATCTAGCTAGCTAACACATAAGCAGTCTAAGGTTAGAAATGTTGTAAAGCTAGGTTACTTATCCGGCATGATTTATCTTTTTATTTTATTTTATTAAATGAGCAAACCTAATAACTGACATGTTATGTTTCTTCATATTGTTATGTCGTTATTGTGATTGAAATTGTATTTAAAACCAAGAATCGTAATATAAAATCCGCTCATAGATGCCGTTCATTGACTGTACAGTTATTTTACAGCAAAAATAAAAAGTCTGGTAAAGTCTCAAAAAAGTATCGAGGGCAAAAACAAAGTCACATAATTGTAATCTGGCCTGCATCATTACTAATGTGAACATGTTTACAGTCTGAGTGATAAGTGGACTAAACCGAGAGGAACAGGTTTTACTTTCACCGTGCAGGCTGAAATTCATAGGACTATATACGAGGGGAGAATATTTCTCTATGTGTCCAGATAAAAGTAAAGGTAAGATGTGATTTAATATAACTGTTACTGATTTAAGATCCAGATAAAACTAAAGGTAAGATGTGATTTAATATAACTGTTACTGATTTAAGATCCAGATAAAACTAAAGGTAAGATGTGATTTAATATAACTGTTACTGATTTAAGATCCAGATAAAACTAAAGGTAAGATCTGATTTAATATAACTGTTACTGATTTAAGATCCAGATAAAACTAAAGGTAAGATGTGATTTAATATAACTGTTACTGATTTAAGATCCAGATAAAACTAAAGGTAAGATGTGATTTAATATAACTGTTAGTGATTTAAGATCCAGATAAAACTAAAGGTAAGATGTGATTTAATATAACTGTTACTGATTTAAGATCCAGATAAAACTAAAGGTAAGATCTGATTTATTATAACTGTTACTGATTTAAGATCCAGATAAAACTAAAGGTAAGATGTGATTTAATATAACTGTTACTGATTTAAGATCCAGATAAAACTAAAGGTAAGATGTGATTTAATATAACTGTTACTGATTTAAGATCCAGATAAAACTAAAGGTAAGATCTGATTTAATATAACTGTTACTGATTTAAGATCCAGATAAAACTAAAGGTAAGATGTGATTTAATATAACTGTTACTGATTTAAGATCCAGATAAAACTAAAGGTAAGATGTGATTTAATATAACTGTTAGTGATTTAAGATCCAGATAAAACTAAAGGTAAGATGTGATTTAATATAACTGTTACTGATTTAAGATCCAGATAAAACTAAAGGTAAGCTCTGATTTAATATAACTGTTACTGATTTAAGAGACTAACTGAAACGTGAACACAAACATCAACAACCTGCGGTGGTGTAATGTGATATTAAACGAGCATCATGCTGCTTAAACTGATAAATGTTCTGCATTGTCTTCCACACACGACCAATTCAACAGTCACAAGTTGATCATATTGTAAATTTAATGACGCTCATTGAGAAATTGTTCTAAAACCTGACAAACATTGAGGTGATTGTGACTGTGTCTGTATTTATCACCTTTGAAAGGAAGGTGTTAATGCAGGAGACCAGTGTTACACACAACATGCTGCTGTTATTGTAGTTAGGAGGAGACAGAGGCACAACAAAAGAAGACATAAAGATCACGTTTTCCCCCACACATGTTAATATGTTTTAAATGTCATGCATTTATTTTTGATTTCACTTCAATAATCGTTAACAAAGAGAAACACCAGGATTAAACTACAGGCTGTTGTTGCCTTTTTATAGCCAAAGAAAACTGAACATTCACAGCCTCTGTATTCAAAACAATTTCAACATTGACATTTATGTCGTCCTGTTTCCCTCTTTTCACCAACATTATATTTTAAACTGGGATTTCATTTTTCTCAGGTTGTGCGTCTCTCCCCCAGCTCGCCCCCTGCGGTGTGCCTGATGAAATATTGAATTATTATTTTGCAACAGACTTAGACTTTTTAGACTTTATTGTCATGGGGAAATTCTTTTTCACAGCACTGTTATGGTCAACACAGACAGTTTCCACCAGTGAACATACATTATACAGTACAACACAAACAGAGTTAGACAATAATTAACACAATAGTTTTCATTTAAACCCCTGAAGAGCATGCCTTCACCATGGACTCAAAGGTTAGATAATTAATTACATAAACAAGCAACATGTATTTTCATTGCTGTCAGCATCATGTTTGTGGATACATGAATGTGATTTTGGGAAAATGATTTATTTCTTACTGTCTGTAGGGAAATCGTTACCTAAAGACCACAGCTGTCCCTATTCTGTTTCCAAGTCATCATTTGAGGACTTCTGGTGCAAAACGCAGGATTTTGGATAGTTGTGACACCAAGGTAAATGGACCAGAGCTACATCAGCTTGACTTCTGCTGCCAATTACAGCAATGCCATCTTGACTAACAATGGAAATGTCCCTCTTAGCATTGACATCTGTCAGGCTGACACTGCTGTAACAGTGGATAGAAATAT